CTAAACAGCCCAGGATGTATAAATTACAGTATCATTTAGCTAACAATCTATGATGGCTACGTGTAATAACATAACCTGCCCAGGATTTAATTAAGCAAGTTCAAAACATGGAAATTAGAAGTAAGGAGCCACTAGAGAAGGATAAATTTAAAGAGTTGGCCTCCTTTTTTAAGCTTTTATGATTTTATTGCCTTTACTAAGAATGAGGGAATATGCAAACAGAGAGGATAAATACCTACTGTTTATCTTACTTTTCTCTTTCCAAGACAGAGAAAAAAAAGACTTTTATTTTTGTGCCCCACCTTCTTTAGTACTTTTGGAGAGGTCTTGAATTTTCATCCTAATGGCAGGGATAAAATCTGTCTAGAAAGAGTAATGTTAAAATTGTCCTCCTACTCTCTCAAAGCACGTGAGACTGGGTATGGAGAGACAGAGCAGAATGATGCCATGAGGTTCTCTAGACTGTAAACACCACAAAATTGAGACTATACATGGGGAATATTCTCTTCTTCTCACATTTATGTAGCACAAGATGAGCAGAAAAGTTCCCTTTAACAGTAAACCTGGTGCTTTTCAGTGCCTGCATTCTATTTAACTCTGTAAAACAGCTAAATGTGAACTAACTACCTTAAAAAGGAACAACCACATATCCTTTTATTACAGTAAACCCCCTGTTGTCTCAGGTCTGAAACTGCCAAAAGAGCAATTTAACTGGGATGGTTTTGATGTTTATGATATCAAGTCATGGTTGACACAGCAAGATCTACCTCTGATGTGTCCCACAGCAAGACATCCCATTTTGGAAGCTCAGAGGTAAAAATGAAAGACAACAATTTTACCTACACCACCATGGTTTTTTAAAGCTAATCATCTTTACTCCCACTGCATTTAATTAGCTTATCTTAGCAGTTGCCATTTTGTTTAAATTGCCCAGTCATTTATTGCCTGGACTTGTTTAATTACGGGTGTTTTGGGGGTTTGGTTTGGTTCCCCACCACCACCATCACACCCACCCCATTGTATTTTAATCTTGTGGTGCAAAATTCCTTTCAGTGTTGTAAAAGTGATCAAGGAGAACCTACTTTGAAATTCCTCTCACACAGACAAATTTGTCATCTGTGTTGCTACAGATATTTAATTCCTTTCCACTATTACATCCAAAGTCATGAGTTTGGGTACCTACTACAACCTGAGGTGAGGTAGAACAAGACTTCTCTTCATAGGATTTTGCTATAGTGGAAAAAAGTACTGATTTTTTTATTATTAATTTCTGCCAATCATTTTGATAGTGAACCTTTCCTTAACACACCACAACAAAATGAAACTCAGGAACCACTCCTCAAGACAGGCCATGGTGGCCTGTTGGGGGTTCTCCCAATTAACTGAGTTAGGTGGGTCCTCTCCTCAGGTTACTAAAAGAACAAATGTCTTTCTAGGAACTTATGGCAAGGAAAGATTCTGCAGGGATTTTCATGGAATTTAACAGTATTTAACTCTTGAATAAAAAGGATTGTCGCTGTGCTTCAGACCATTGAAATGAGAGGAAAGAGGAGAGAGCTTGTGTGTGGAGGAAAACACATTAAACTACCACCAAGAAAGTAAATTAACCTCCAGAGCTCTTTATTAATAACCAGAGACCAAGGACTCTGTAGGTTTGCAAAGTGTGATACCTCTTCTACTTTCTGAGTGTTGGTTTTCAACCAGTACTTAATTTCCTGATTTATTTGTCTAATCCTTATTGCCAGGAGGCTGGAGAGACTTTGCAACTGGGAGGAGAACTTTTCTCTCAGCTCCTCTCAGGATCTATTCCAGCAGCTCTGGATATCCCCAGCTACACACTGATTGCTAGGGGCAGATGCATCATCTACAGTCTATAGACCTTTAAAAAGTGCAAATGCAGTGGGATTATAGATTGTATATTTGTTAATTTCTCAATACATCAGCTTCAGACTGAGCTTTTGAATCAGTTATTAGTTGATGCAACAAGCAAAGTGGCTTTATCACATAAATCAGTCAGCCCTTTCTGACATCCAGAAAGCCATGATGAGGCCAAATACTCTCCATGGTGCTTAGAATGGCACTGGGGATGAAATGTTCTGTAAACTTACAGAATTATGACAGTGCAAGTGCTCCAAGAAGTTACATCAGGACTAGGATATCACAGATAAGACTGTAAAATGATGAAAACAATCCAAAACAGATACTTCTGAGCAAATAATGTGTAAAAGGGTTTACAAATCCCTTGAGGCTTATTTTACAAACTGGCTTTAAAATTTTTGTTCCATATCTTCTTTACTTCCTATCCCATGTTCTATCTGTATAGTACAATAACACAAGACTCTTCTAGACATGGAAGGAGATAAAGCTATTTGTGGAAAGAAGAAAAAAAGTCTTTCAAACCTGAAGAATCTGAATTCATTTTTCCACAAGCAAACAAAGAGGCTTGATAAAAAAATGCAGAATAGTAAATCTCATAAAAATGTATAAAGAGATATATGGATGGCCATAAACAGCATACAAGTATTGCAGTATTTACATTAAAAGTTCTTTCCCGTATTCTCTGCAATTCATAAATTTCCTTTGCTATAGGAAAAAATCTTCATTGTCATTTATTATTTTGAAAAAATCAGAAATACTGCAACTGCAGCAGCACATAAAAATGTCTGGGATTACTTTGCATTTTCATCATTTCAATTTTGCTCCACAAAGGGAAAAAAAACCCAACATTTTTTAAACCCTTTCCTATCTGTTTATTGAGTTAGAATTTAGTATAACAACTGTCTTCTGATCCACTTCCAATTTTGATGCATATCTTAAGGAAAATACATGAATAGAACATCTGGCACTTTATAGATGCTAATTTAATTTAATTCCTTAAGTTCAATTTTTGTCTGGACTAAAATAATCTGATATTTTCAACAGTAGTACTAAGGAGCTCAACGAATTTTTTATTTATTTTAGATTCAAAAACATATGTTTAGTTCATAAGAGTATTTCCATATTTATAGCCTTTCTTTCTGCATGTTCTTAAAAGAAAATCATCTCAATAATTCCAGAAAGGTCAAGGAAAAGAAGATATTTCTTCTACCACAGTTTAGCTTAAACAATGCTAACTCTAGGATTTATGGTGCAAAGCAGAATTGCAAACTAACAAACTGCATTATCCAGAATTCTGGTTTTCCCTGTTTCAAACCCCATTTCTGGGTTCTTTTTCTTTCCCTCACCTCTTCTGAAAGCAGGGAGGGTACCCTCGGGGCGCACAGCAAAGCAGGGACTGAACTCACTGTTCTGCATAACTCCACTCCTTTTCCAAGAACCCAATTCACCCAGGTTTCATGCTCACTCCAATCACAACAGAGATAATCCTATTTGCATTGTTATTTCCCATTACTTAAAAATAAATGTCTCACTCCATAACTGAAGCAGGACTCCACTGATTCCCTGGTTGTTTTGTTATTTGTGGGACATTTCACTCAAAGCACTAAACTGCATTTTCAGAGTTCACACAGCTCTGTAATTTGTGTATTTGGTGACTTAGATGAAATCAAATCAAAGATGTCCCCAGACAGCCAGGAAGCACCAGTCTGGGTAACAGCAGCTAAGGCTCACCAGAAAGGCAGAGGGCCAAGAGGATGTGCAGACTCCTTTACCAACAAGATCCTGACCAGTGCTCACCCCACAGCCCTTACAGCAGCTATGGCTCACCAGAAAGGCAGAGGGCCAAGAGGATGTGCAGACTTCTTTCACCAACAAGATCCTCACCAGTGCTCACCCCACAGCCCTTCCCCTGCTTCCTTTTGCCTCTCAAATTCCACTTATAGCTGGAGTAGGTAAGTGCTCCTGAAGTTAAGAGTAAGGCAGTACTGGGAAATACCAGGGAAGCAGCTCATTCTGATACCAAAAATCTACAGAAAGGTTGAGTAGAGCTCTGAGCAACCTGGTCTAGTGAGAGGAGTCCATGGCAGAGGATTGGAATGAAATGAGCTTTAAAATCCTTTCATGTGGAAGAGGTTTTACAGCCACTTCTGTGAGCCAGAGAGAAGTTTGATAAGAGGTTGCATGTTTACCCCTGAAAGAATTTTCTACCAAGGTCATTGATATAGAAACCAAGAGAGCAAGAAGGATAAATAAGAGCAACCTGCAACTGCCTATTCCAATAAGCACTTTGTTGCTCTCATGACCAAAGTGTAAATTTATGAGCTTTTAAGAATGTAAAAAACATGCATGCTATAATGAAAACAGGTTTGAAGCCTTCTGAAAATGGAGTGTGTTGCTTTGCATTGTCTCTGTCTCAACTATGACACCTTCCAACCCAAACTACCACATGGTTCTGTAACAGAGCACCGCAGCTACAACCTTGGGCAGGAGGAGCACAGAGCAAGCCTCACATTTACCTGCCCTTGCCATCCAGTTTGGAGAGGAGCTGCAGGCTTCAAGAAACGGGTCAGAAAAGCAGGGATGGTTTGGGAAGGGAGTGGTTTAAATCAGAGAGATGTTAGGGATTGTGGATGTAGGGTACAGGATGTGGCTCAAAGTGTGTGTCTGACAGGCAGGTGTAGACACAAGTGCTACAATAGCACTGACCCTCACCTGGCAGACACAGGGCTGGGTTTTAGAAACTCAAGACTGTTAGAAAGAAGTGATTGACCATCATTCCTTTCTGCAGCTTGTCTTGCTGGAATATCTCAGCCCCACTGATATCTTACCTGCATGGAAACTTCCACAGCATCCCCAAATCCAGCCTGTTGAGGACAGGGCTGTCCATCTCCCTTAGTCAGGATTTAGATATTTGCTGTTTTCCTTCGTACTTTTAGTACAAAGGGAAGGAAGTGGAGAATCAAGCTTTAGTTGTTTCTAAAAGCTTATAGTGACAAGAAATGCCACACAGTGTCCAAACACATTTGCTTAAACTAATTCCCACATCTCCAACAGGAAATGCTGAAGAAAAGACTGTGAGAGAAAAATAGGACAGGGTCTCCTTTCTTCCTCAACACACTCACCTTTTATTCTGGCTATCAGCAGATACAGGCTTGAACTTTATCAGTGCTGCTGTGTAGTATCTGTTTCCATACCGATGCACTTCACAGGGAATTACAACTGCTCGGATCCGTCTGTAAATCCCATGTTCCTAGGAAGGAACAGAGATTTGGTTTGGCTCAAATGACAGCAATCAGGGGGCTTTCAGCAGAAAGATCTGACCCTGTCTTTGTTAACATAAACCAGCAGTAATCCAGTAATCTGACATGGCAAGATATATTTCATAAATCAAGAGCTAAATGCCCGCATTTCTTCTGCCTGCTGAACTCCCAGAGCCTGGACCCGAGGTGAGATCCTGCTTGTACTGAATTTAATAGCAAAACTCCCTTTGACTTTGGTGGGTCCAGGTTTTCATTCCCTAAAGCCACAGGGGTTTTAAAACCCTTTTTGGCATGAAGAGAAAAGGTGAAAGTAACTTATTTGGCTTTTTTTTTTTACAGTAATTCTGGGCACTGTTCTATATTTTCTTAGAATCAGTTATAGTCTCCTCTACTTCCCTTGACTATTGACTATTTTGTGATTGATGTATTATTTCAAGTAATGCATAAAGCCTTATACCTATTTATTGACAACAGGCTAAGTTAGGTACCTTTTAGGCAATTCTCCAGCTTGAAAAACCAAGTGCTGACAGTGAAATCCAGATATCTCAATACCAAAGGCTGTTGTCATTTTGAGCATAAATGTACATATTAATCAGCTAATCACTAATCCCTGAAACCTCTAACTGCAATATTGGCAGATCTTCTTAAAAACTATTTCCAAGCTTGCACGCCTGTTGTTGCATTTGCTTTAGGAATCATCCATCACATAAATGGCTAGTTAGTGAAATGAACTAATTAACAAAGAAATTAAATGGAGAAATAAATCTCCAGCTCAAGACTACTGAATTGTTGTTGCCCTCTTCCATCCAAAGGCACCAGAGAGGCTTTCAGTTAAGAAATACTGCTGCATTTTGAAAGCCTTTTATACATGTGAAACATGTACCCTTTAATCCCTATTCTATCACACTGAACAACCATTACATTTATTGTATTAAAATATATGTAGTACAGTATCAAATACAGCTGTCCCCATCTGAGCCCCCTTTTCCTCCTGCTTTCTACTTGAAACCCTTGATTTGCTTTTTAAGATCAATTTAAGAACTATTCCTGTGCATGCTTTGGAACTATTTTAGTAATTTCTTATTGATCTGGACCTTTGGGACTCACAGATCTTTAGATCTGTATTTAATTTCTGTTAATGTTTGTTCCAACTTTTCTGTAATATCCAGTGGGTATATACATATTTTAAACTCCTTCAATATTTTGACCCATAGTGTTGTATGGAAAACTTGGAATCAGATTAACATTTTAGAGCTAAAACTAGCATGCAATTGCTTCCATTTGTGCTTATGCTAATAAATGAGAGTATCTTGTTGAAAGCAGTAGGAAACAGATGGACACTTTGTCAAAGTGTGAAGCTCGATGGTTTGGGTGTTAACATACTCATATGCGTGTATGTATATCTAGATATAACTGAATAACAACGTTTTTAACCTCTAATACTCCAGTTTCTTTATATAGTAGTCACTATGATTTTTTTCTTTTCCACACATAAAAACAACATAATTATTGGAGGAAAAAAATGACTGACAGCATCGCAGAGTAAGCTTATAGCAGGACCCAGAACTGAACATTTTCCTCCCAGTTTCAGTCCAAAGCACTGTGAACTGGAAACTCAGGGAAAAACACGGTGTTCCCATGGAGTACTGGAACTGAAAACAGACACACACACAAATTCTGTAAAAGGATAAATGATAAATTGATGTTCTTAAACCTGAGCAGTTTATCTCTAATTTACCTCATAGTGCATCAAATGTGTTAATGGTGTTTAACTGACATGATGTGGGAGTTACAATAACACTGCCCAGCATTTAGCTTGCTAATGGCTTCTTAATTACAAAAAGGGTATTAATGCTTCATGGGAAGCTGCACCCTAATGCTCATGGCCCTTTTTATCCCACTTAAGCATTTCAGTATTAATGATTGTTTTAATCTCACCATTATTTTGTCCAGCCCTATCTTTGACAATTCCTCAGCTCCTTATTTTGAGTATCTCAGCTACAGTGTTGATATTCATACTAATCAGTCTCTTCTGGCATCTGCAGTGTCAGCTTGGAGCTGATTCAGGAAAAGCCACAAAATCATAACACCACTGTTTCTGTAATTTTCTGCTATTTAGGATGCATGTAACTCAACTTCTGAGCTTTTAAAGATGCATCTGTAAGGCCTCTTGCTGTCATTTCAGGGGAAAAATACAAATCTCAAACCACATTTGTGTTCATGATATACAAACAATTCTGTTTCCTCCCATGAACTTGAAGTATTTCTACTTCATAACAGTGATAAAAGAAGAACTTCAAAGTTCAAAAGAAGTAAAAGGGTGATATTGGTAGCTCTGATTTAGTATCTTGTACCTAGCCAGTTTTCTTTGTGGACCATTATCCTCTGATACAGATGTCTTTATTAAAACATCACATCCATCTCCCAGTCTCATCTTTTTTCACGGCCACAGAATGGTTTGGGTTGGAAGGGATCATAAAGATCACTTAGTGCCAACCCTCCCTGCCATGTTCAGGGACACCTTCCACTGTCCCAGGCTGCTCCAAGCCCTGTCCAACCTGGCCTTGGACACTGCCAGCGATCCAGGGGCAGCCACAGCTGCTCTGGGCACCCTGTGCCAGGGCCTCAGCACCCCAACAGGGAAGAATTTCTTCTTAATACCTGATTAATTTCTTAATTAATCATAATTAATTAAGAAATTAATTACATAAATCTACTCACTTTCAGTTTACAACTCTTCCTCCTTGTCCTGTCACCCCAGGTCCTTGCCCAAAGTCCCTTTGGAGCTCTCTTGGAGCCCTTCAGGCACTGGGAGGTGTTCCAAGGTCTCCCCAAAGCCTTCTCTTGACCAACCCTAACTCTCAGCCTGTAAATCAGAAATATCTCAACCCATGTGAGTTAGTCTGCTAAAAAGCACTGTAAGAATCACAAAATACAATAACCACCTCAAACATCTATTTCTTCTATTCAGGACACAGGTGGGATCACAGGTAACACTAAGAGTAGCATATTCAAATTCTTAAAACCAGTAAGAGAAGCAAAATCCACAGAAGGTTTTTATTTTCCCTTGATCTTCCACATTGACAGAATTCAGAAACTAGCAATAAAAATATCTCAGCTGTCAAACAAAATAAAAGGTCTTGTTTACTTAGCAAGGCCCAGACTATCAATAATAATCAAGGGTCTGCTTTCCAAACAGAAATGGTTTGCAAACCACAACAAAAGCGCTAGCTCAAGGTAAGTAGCTGTGCCCAGCACCTAAAATTGTTCAGCATTCCAGGTCTGTGCATCTGTACATGGGTTAAAATACATCCAACAGTTCCCCCAAGGATTTCTGATTTTCAGCTCTTGTCATAGCTCACTGCTGATTGCTCTCTAATTACCTCAACTCTGATTCAGACACAGCAGATTTGCTGCTCTGCCTGAGATGTGCAAACCCAATAGTTTTCATTACTGTTACTTCTTTGCATGGTTCTGGGTCTGTTTTTGTGCTGCTGCAGCAAAGGTTACAGCATCCTGCAGTCACTCACTCCTAAAGCATATCCAAGGAGATCATGTGAGGCAATAACTTATTGTCCTAATCCTTCCTCCAACAATGGATGCCTGCAAGGACAGGAAGTTCTCTGCTATTGATTTCAAGACCAAAGATACTGCAGGTGAAATTCAGATTGTGCTCACCATCTTGGGGTGTGTTTCCATCAAGTCATTGAATTCCATAGACTGAAAGTTTGTATTTAAGAGTAACCTTTCATGTACATCACACTGGTGCAAATTGAGACCTTACCCGGAGCAGTTCCCAAATGAAAGCATCTGGAGGACAACTGTTTTAATTAATGATGCTTTGCATAACCATAGAGATGGCATGGAACAAAGTCAAGCCAAAAAACCTATTCAAATGCCAGTGCTTTGTAAAGACAGAACTCTTGATAAGATCAAGTCACACCAGAAAACAAACCAAATCATATTCCTGAGTACATACTGGAGATTTTATTTCACTTGTATTATGTGCAAGTTAGAGGATCAAACTGATGGGTTTAAAAGATACTCAAAATTTCTCATATCACTTAACTAACTTCTGCACACAAGACAGGGAGTCTGTGTGATAGGGAGGGGTTTGTTCAGATTTCTGCTTAGATTTCAACTAGGAAGGTGCCACTGCATTACCACAAAGCCTGAACAGAAACCTTCACTGCCTGTTTGGCAGATTTTTTAAACATATATGAACTAAATACCAAAGCAAGGACAGCTCATTTAGGTCTGTGTCAGCAGCAGAATTTGATGACAGCAGCAAACTCTTCTTGTGGGGAAAAGGAGTTTTCTGCAGAGCTCTTATCCTCAAGGTAATACAGGCCTTGCTATTTTACAAGCCTTGAATAAGAGGCCAAAGATTTTTTTTCCTATTCTATTAATGAAAATTCACATTAGCAGCACTATAAAATATATTAAGTTTTTGTTAACTTTGCTGACTTAGGCTAAAGAAATTCCATTTGTTCCTAATACCTTGACATGGTTATGGTCAGTCTAATAAAGGACTGCATTCTCTTTGGCAGCTGCATCTTTCCTTAAGCATTTTTGAAAATACTCTTTTGATTAAGTATAGAAATTTGCATCCTGCCAAGAAGGACTGGAACCAGTAAACAAGAATATGTCTTCTACAGATCTTCCTAGACAGGAATGTTTTGATATCTGTGCTCTGCTAATTCTTTAATATCTGTATTAACACATGCATTTTTACCTCTCTAAGGTACCACTACAGGAAAATGCAAGAAACTTCAGAGAGCTGTTTGAGAACGTTTACTACATTCGATTGAACCCAATAGTTCTCCCTATTAGATATCAATCCATTTTGCTGACACCTGACTGTTATGAACAGTGTACCATGTTTTTGTGGCTGTCATTCAACCAGCTTATAATGCTGCATGTCAAATGCTAAATAATGCAGGGCCTCTTTCAGAGATGCCATCACTTCCACACAGGCTTCACTTTGAGTTACAGGCAGAACGTGCACTCAGCACTCCCCTCTGCCATCAGCCTGGCAGCAGCTCTGCTGAATTGTCACATTCTCCCCACGGTTGTTTTGCTCAAAATTTGTCTTCGCGTAAAATTTCTGTTCTCTTGCAAACATTCAAACTGCAGTTCCAGGCATGAAGATGATTTTGGATCTATTCTGTGCTTCCCAAATGCTTTTCTCACCATCCCTCCTAAGCCCATTTAATGCCCATTAAGTGTGCCAGACTGACTGAGGCTTAGGGCTGCTCTTTATTCTGCAGGAGCTCCAGAATAGGCAATGGCATTGCAAGCTCCTACCTGGAGGTGCCAAACCATGTCCACCCTGACCTGGTGGGAGCTAAGGAAGTCACTCTGGGTGGTTTATGTGCCATGAACACAGGATCATCACTCTTCCTTGCAGCCACAGCTACAATCTGTCAGCTGTCCTGCAGACCAGAGGAAAATAAACCATTTTTAGCACATTTAGGCCATGCAAACACAGCTCTCCCTGTCATTCTGGACCAAGACAAGCAAGCCAGACTTGTATTCCATTATCAACACTCTGAACTAGCCTGGTGGCAGGGAGTACCCCTTGGCTCAGCCTTCCTGCACCACACAGCTCAGGAGAATTGTCATCTGCTGTCATGCAAGTGAGCTTTAACTGGACACAGGCATGTAAAACACCAGCAGGCTCAGCTTTGCTCCAGGGATTCCCAATTTATCCACGAGAGAAAGGGCTGCAAACAGTGATGGCTGCAGTGAAAAATCTGCATGCAGCAAATCACTGTCACAGCCTGTACTGCTGAGAGAGCTTGTGCAAGCCACAGGGAATAAAACAAGCTTTGCTTAATGCAGGCTACTTCATCCTCTGCTTTACACCAAAGCCTTCATGTTACACCTCAGTTTATCTCCTCTTGCTAACAAAGAGAAGCAAAGAGAGGAGATGATCATGGAGAGGTGCTGCAACACAACCAGATGGTCCAGCTCTCCCAAGCCTTGGCATTGTGTCTCTTTCTGCAACTTTGGTATTTTTATCTCCTCCCGCCCCCCCTTGGTCCCATCTGCACCTTCCTCTTTCTCCATGTCTGTCACGTTGTTTTTCAGTTCAGCTTCCCCAGGAAGAGATGCTTATGCTGTCAGGTCCCTCACAGTGAACTCAGCAGAAAAAAGGATGGGACTCCTCTGGATTTCATGACAACATGCCTGAGAGGAACAGAGATGTCCCAAGACTGCTTCCTAGTAAGGGAACAATCTCTGTGCTGAGTTTTCCTGTAGTTTCCAGAGCAGGGTTCTGTGCAGAGGTCCCACCACTGCTCACAGGCATTGAAGGTGCACAGAAATCACCCTGAAGGAGCTTGTGATCATTTCCCAGGCACTTTGGAAGCTGGATTTTTTTGCACAGCTGTCACTGTCCACCTTTTCCCTACCCCTGCCTGTACCATTTCCCAGCCAGGCTGGATCTTGTCTCTCATTGTAGCTGCTGATCCCCTCCTGCAAAGCTCCTTTTCACACATCCACCAAAAGCAAAGGGCACAGCAAAGGGAACTTCTTTCTCTTTGCTCTTGTGCGGCATGAATCATGAAAAAGAAAACCCACATAAAACTAATATCCCACTGCTGTAACTGCCAGCCAGGGCTGACTTCAGTGGGCAGATGTTTCTCTGCATCAGCTGGTGATCTGGTAGTCAGATGAAGGGCCCTAAAACCCCCAAATTTATTCTTAGTTTCAGCTGCAAAGAATGTTCTAAAAGTAAAACAATGAAATAATGCTGGTTTTAGTGGCATGGCAAATAGATTTACAAAGGAGTTTGTCCATATATTCAAATACATGCTTTATATTTAAATTTAATTTCTATGAAGTTCTGCCTTCATAGGAATATTATTATATACCAGGGATAGGGTCTCTGCCTTTTTAGCCCATTTACTCAGATGTAAATTAGTGTCTTTCTTTTAATCCTCCCTCTGCTCTTATTGCTTTCATTGAACAATAGGGAAGCCTACTTGTAGTTAATTTACCACCTGAAGACACTAAATAAAAGTTGCAGTGCCTCATTTATTAAATCTCTCCCTAAGACTGAAGACACTAGGCATCCAGTCAAGGCTATGTTTTTATTAAATATTTTCACCACTGAAATTAGAGTATTTATCCAAACAAACTCCCCATGAGGGAATCCAACATAAACCAGCTTATTTATTGGTGAGTGTTAAGTCAGGTTGGTAGTGCTGACCCCTTGTGTGATTCTCCAAAGCACATCATGATATTATTTTAATTCTCAAGATCTATTATTTTAGCAAAATATCTGTCAAGATGTCTCTGGTGTGTTACTTCCTTTATTGTCTTTATTGTCTTATGCCTTTTACTAAAGTATTCTGGCACTCTCAGAGAAAAGTTAGAGGAAGAAAATGAACTTGTCCAAAAGGAAGTGCCCCGTGCCCCCTGTGCTCCCGGCTGCATCACTGACCCTGGAGCATTTCCCACAGCAGCCCCCACATGCAGCTTGTGAGGTCAGTGCTGTTTCAGGAGCGTTCTCTGGGCAGACCAGTCCCTTTGTTCCCACAAAGAACAGAAACTTTATTAAGCAGAAGCCACTTCAGCTGGGAATTATTTACACAAAAGGTGAAGTTTGTACTTCCCAATCCCCAGTACAGCACTTCAAGATTCTGCAGGTGCCACTAGTGTGGTTTTTAAAGGCAGGGTCTTTCCTGTGTCTTACCCGTACATTCCTGCTTGATGCTGATGATGTAAGTCCTGTTAGGATGATGATCCAAGTCCTTTCCATGAGGACTTGGAATGATGATAAAGGGTCTCTTCCTTGGCTGCAAAAACGTCAGAAGATATGCACTGAACAGAGCTGAATGGTGAGGAGAAATTTTAGTCTACATGAGATTTTGACATTTTGAGTTTACTTCTCTTTTAATTCATAACATATAATATTTTTAGATGTCCCAGAAAACAGATATGTACAACTTTGCCTTTGGACAAATATTAACACACAGTTTCCAAAATTAATTTGTTCCCTCAAACCTCAGCAGCTGCTGACTGAAAAGGCTTTGTTCCTTAAAATATGATTTGGCATAACATAACCTAACAGCATACCCTAGTCTATTATTAAGGTTGAATTGTCAAATGAATTGTGTCAATGTAAATTAAATGCTGGGTTTATATTTTTCCCTTAGAAGAAATTCCACCCATCTTCAAACTTTCTCATGAATTCAGAAGAGACATTTGCAAAGACATTATTGTTATTGTTTATGAAACATCAAAGTTTCCTGCAAAACTCTACGACATTTTCCCAACATCTTTTTCAAGCTCAGCACAAGAAATACTGCTGAGCTCCTGGTTCTGTTATCTCAGATCCAGCTCTCTGAGAGCAGGAGAATGGCTCCATGAGAAACAAGTGCTCATAGGACATACAGCAAATACCAAAGAGCAAGTGGTTAATAATGTGCCCGTCAGTCCCAAGGGATTTTTTCATTGGTACATATGAAAATTTCTGCCAGGCTCCGTATGGCTTTATCTAAATGAGAGTAAGCACTCATCCCTTTGACTAAAGGTCAGCAAAATGCAGCCAAATTATTCTGCACCTCTCATGGGGGTGAACAGGTTCCAAAACCCCATCCTGGACGGGGTTTGTGTGATCCATGTCCAGTGGCCAAGCACTGATCCCCGGGTACACTGGTACAGAAATCACAGTCTGGGTGTCACCAAATTTATTGGACTGAGTCCCTTAAAGCAGAGCAGTCCTTAATCACACCCTCCTGCAGATAAATAAATGTGGGAGGCAGTAAAAAGAAACTTGAGGGCCTCAAAGTCACATGGGAGGAGAGTCAGACCCTGCCATTCACTTTGGCTATTAACATGTCTTCATTTTGCAGATGCTCTGAACATGCCACTGCATAGAGCTAGAGGATATACCGTGAGCTAGAGGATGTTTTATATCCCACAAATGTACAAAAACAGTTTAGAACAACCTCTTTGAGAGGGATAAAACCATGCTAAAGCATCTCAGCAATAATAGAATCATAGAACTGCCTGGGTTGGAAGAACCATCTCATCCCACCCCCTACCATGGGCAGGGACACCTTCCACTATCCCAGGTTGCTCCAAGCCCTGTCCAAACTGGCCTTGGACATTTCCAGGGATCCAAGGGCACCCAGAGCTGCTCCAGACACCCTGTGCAGGGTCTCAGCACCCTTACAGGGAAGAATTCCTTCCCAGTATCCCATCTAACCCTGCCCTCTGGCAGTGGGAAGACTTTCCCCTGTCACTCCAGGCCCTTTAATGTGACATCCCATCCTCACTGGCTTGGATATCTTTCATTTTTAATGTCTTGTAAAATAGATTTTTTCAGATTTATCTTTCTGGCTTCTAATTTAGGCCCAGCTGAAAGCCAGCACTTTCTAGACTTCTGCAGTCCAAAAATTGATATTATATGTCGTCCTGTCCTGCTGTACAAGGGGGAGTCAGGGAGGATTCTTTATGATAAATTTCTCAGATAAAAATAAAGGGTAAATGCTCTTTATTTATATATCTGAGAATATTATTATATCTGAGATATAACAGAAATATATTAATAATAGATCTGAGAATATATCTGAGAACTGTTTATTGATAAAGGAAGATCAATGTTCCTATGGAAAGGGGATAGAAAAGGAAGCAAAGAGGGGAAAACAGAGAGAAAGAGACAGGGACAGGCTGTAGAGCACACCTATGTACACAATTTTTCACCTCATGTATAACTGATGTTGAGGCATAAATACAAATCTGTTTGGCCCCTCTCACATGTACATCACCACATAAATATTTATACATATAAACTCATTCATATATATTTGCGCCATGAAAAAAATCCAAACCTTTAAAATTTTAATACTGACTATGGGAATATTACAATGAAAAGTGCTGAAAGAAAAACAGTCACATATAAACATTGTATTTGAGCAGACTCATGCAAGCTAAAAATGGATGTTTATACAAACCTGTATTTTCTTTGCACCAAAGCTCTGCAGATATGACATCTACAATGGAAAGAAAAGAAAAAAACAAACAAAACATTTAGCTGACCACCTGGTGGTAGCAACACTTGGTTTAGTTAATATAAATGGCATTGGTTTTGTTAATACAAGTTGTTAACATCCTCTTACAACCTTATTAAAAAGCATGTCTCAACTGGAGAGGATAATGGGATTATAAAGATGTTTATAAGGAATCTGATTTAGCAATATGTTCTTATTAAAATCAGCATTTATTTTGTCATTACAGTTCTCTTTATCATTGAACTTGTCCGCCTACACCTTGGTTCAGTTATTTATGACCACTGTTTGTCATGCCAAGTCTGAGTTTAAACCTAATCTTAAAACAACTGTGAGTAGATATTTTCATCCAAGTCTAGTAGAAAAGCTTGGAGGTTTAAACACCAGCTGGAAAAGTTCTCTTATGCCCTTCAAGGACCAATGCCTTTTCTTGATTCTATGAAGCCCTCACACATTTTGTAAATCTCAGAAATAAAAATAATAGAAAAAGATATGACTTTACCTTGTCACTTTGTGGAATGAAGAGTAATTAAACCAAGGATTTCTTAATAGTACTGTTTCACATATGTTTTTTAAAAACTAAACAAGCAAACATTATTTATATCCACTTTTACTAGCAGAAATAATACATTTCTAAACCATTTTAATAAATTACTGTTAACGCAACTTTTCCAAATGTGAACAAAAGAGAAATTCTCTTCATGAGCATAGAGCCATCACAGTCCAATTCAGTAATAACAGCAATTTCATACTGATATGAATTTGTTTAAAAGGTGACCTAGACAATGAAGCAAGTATAATTAAATTGGAAACAGCTAATTCAATAAAGTACTGATGTCAAAAGTAATAATCAGGGGAAATTTTAGTGCAACACTCATCTGCAGAAAGGATCATTTTAGAATAATGGTATGCTCATGTGAAGAAATTTAAAATATAAAATGTCTGATGATGGTTGATTGAAAAATAAAACAAAAAGGAGTTTATGATAATAGATTTCTAAATGAGTAAAAGGAACAAAGACACAGAATTGCTAACATTAATATGTTGCCACTGGTTTATAAAACAAAGAAAGCTCATTGAATTTGATAAAAATATCTACTTCCTGACTTGAAATGGTTAAGTACAATTAAGTTTCACCCAACCTGAGCATTAAAAAATGCTGAATTAAATAGGTATTATATTTTACAGAAGAGAACTGTCACTGCACAGGCATTCAGGGTACCAACCATTCCCTCTGTGCAGGAGGAGAACTCAGCTGGCGCCCAAAGCTTCACTTCATCTGCCCACAACACAGAGGGGAAGTTCTCCACCTCTTCCACTTGTTTCTGCAGAAAATCAAGGCTAGCTTAGCATTAATTCAGTCTCCTGATCTGCTGGCCCAGCACACTTATTGAGCTGAGGTCAGGATGAAAAATACCCAGCAGAGCTCTACACCAAAGGTCAAGTTTCTCTGCCCACTCTTCAACCACGAGGGTGAAGTTCACCTGTCCAGCTCACAGTGCCATTTCCAACCAGCTTCTGACTGACCAAGGCAGGGAACCAGATCCTACTCAACCATAAAAAGTCCCAGGCCACTCCAGTCCAAATGTGGTTAAACATTTATTTCTATAAAAATCTAAAAGACACTTAGAAATACAAAAGTAAAACTATAAAAATAATTTGTTTAGCTGCATAAGTGGTTCTCCCAGCAGGAAAATCACGAGAGAGCATGAACAAACCAGCCTTTTTGTGTCATTGCTTACTGAGCAACACTCCCACTCCTGAGGTTTATCTGATTTCAAAATGCTACCAACAGTTTTTCCTAGAAAAAATTAGTTCATATATGTGCACACACAAGGGAGAAATATTCTTTTTGTGCTGTCAAATGGTGAACAGGCTTTTTAAAGTTGCTGAACTGTAAAGAAAGATGTTCCATACTTAACCTGCTCTGTGTGAGACTTGCATCAAGCTAAAATCCCAGAAAGTGAAAATAACACTGTTCTAACCATCAATGTGAATTAGGCTGGTCTGAACTACATAGAACCCACAAACTAGCAAAAATTGAATTTCCTGTTTAAGAATTAGGAAAACCCAGATGAATTTTGTTACCAGAGGTCACACCACCACCTCAGGTCTCACAGCCAGCACTGCTGCCTTGCAGTGAGAGGAAGAACCAAAGCTTGTTTCTGTGTTCCCATGCTAAGCCAAAGCCCTGGCACCTGGAAAATTGTGGGAATTAGAAAAGCAAAAACTTCCACAAACACTGAAAAATTTGCTTTACAACCTTAGAAGAAGCTTAAATTAACATTAAAATAAAATACACAGATATTAAAGAGAAAAAATCATAAACTTCTATTTCTATTATTATAAGTAAGAATATGCCTTAAGTGAGGAACTGTACAAATAACATAGTAAAAAGTTAAAATGTAATGGTGTAGTTGTATAGTTTAGAAGTTTAAAACATCTATATATATTTTAAATCTTCTAAATATATATATTATAACTTCTAAAAGTTTAGGAGTTACAATAAAAGCATGGGTGTACATGTAAGTTTAAATCCCATTAAATAAAAGTATCCAGGGTACAATAGAAGTAAGTAAAAGTAATGGGTTTAAAAAATGAATCCTGTCGCAACTGTCTATTAGTTTAAAAAGTCATATATTACCTTATAACAAAAAAACTTGTGACTATTCTTAAACTATTACCAAATACTTACCCCTCTAAAATCTCACAGCTGCAGAGACTAATATTTATCTAAACATTAAATCCTTCTTAACTTAAAAA